TTACCATTCGAAACTTTTTGGGACATATTCATAGTCGAAATAAAATCGTCTCTAAAGCCTTTTGACATAATTTTCGATGGAAAATCTGTCAAAAAAGAGTCGATATATTAAAAAGACGAATATGCATATTTTGCATTTATTATGAAAACAAAATTGCAGTTACACTTCAGTCACAAAAATAGGAACATTAGTGGATAACTATTGTTACAACAAAGATAAGCCTTTTAGGTTTGTATATAAATTATCGTGGATTATTTCTTTGTACCGGGAGCCACGAAAATAAATTTAACACAAATAACTTAGGGAAATGCTAAGCTACAAAAACGGTGCATTAAAAGTACTGGGCACTTTTCCGAGAAAATTTGGACATAATAAGAAGCTCAGCCAAAATCTGGCCAGAGGTGTATATTTTAAGCGCCTTTGAAAAGTAAATACTAAAACCATTTTTAAACAAGGAAAAAACAAATATATTTTATAAAGAAATTGTCAAAATGTGTATATAGAGTTTTTAATCAAAGAAAAGTGGCAAAAGTCGCATGCCTTTTCAGAAAAGTTTTAAAATAAGCCTATTTTTTGAAAGAGTCGGTGTCAGGGGGCATCGATCTCTAAAAAGTGTCAAGTTGACACTTTAGTCGCACAACGGTAACACTGTACTACAAATGTCAAAAACTGGAAAATACTTAGTAAATACCTTAGTTGTATTTGCCTATCGGCACTTTTTTAGGCCTAAAAGATACTATCGATAGTTTCCCTATACTAACAAAGCTATCAAATCGATAGTGCGCCTATCGATAGTTTGCCAGCTCTACAGCATCACCACTGGGTATCCCTTCGTGTTATCACACTAACACTAGCCTTGTGCTAAAGATGCTTAAGATCAAACCACCCTAATTTGAAAATCGGACTCCCCTCCCTACGTTAAGAGATATCATAATCAAGTGGAATTGAACTCCTTGAATTACCCTCACGATTGCCTGCCATATCAAGGATATCTTCAAGGTTCGGCAACCACCCTCAACGAAATTAAACCAACTTCAATGCATCTGGTGTAGTAGACTTAATTTCAATTGTATGAAAAAAGGCACCCAACCAAGGAGAACCATGGACTTCTTGAGCAAAATGAATGTAGCCGATGAGACATTTACGTCAGCATTCAAATGCAAAGGCGCTCAGTGCGCCGGATTTCAGCGAGCCCGAAAGAACAACTGGTAAGATGAGGAGTGGCAGGAAGCTGCAGCGAAAAAAGATGCCGCACAGTGCCACGCTGCGATCGGGCGCAACGTGCGCTATGTGGGACCGCTGTAGGGGTGTGAAGCGGGAAGCGAGACGTATTTGCCGCAATAAGAAGAGAGAGGCCGAAATACGTGAGTGCGAAGAGCTTGAAATGCTGGCCGACAGGAAGAATGCCCGAAAATTTTACCAGAGAGTTAGGCGACTTACGGAAGGTTTCAAGACCAGGGCGTACTCCTGTAAGAACAAAAATGGCGACCTAGTAACCGATGTCCAAAGCATACTTAAATTATGGAGGGAACACTTTTCCGCCCTACTAAATGGTAGCAGCATGCAAAGTTGTGGAGAAGAAGAACCCGAGCACGCAGTCGACGATGACGGAGTCGACATTCCGCCGCCTGACTATGACGAGGTACGAATGGCAATAACGCAGCAGAAAAACAAAGCTGCTGGAGCTGGCAACCTGTCAGCTGAGCTGTTCAAGTACGGCGGCGAGGAGTTGATAAGGTGCATGCATCTACTCTTGTGCAGAATATGGTCAGATGAACGCATGCTTGGAATTTAAGTGTCCTCTGCCCAATCCACAAGAAAGGCGACCCCGCCATTCGCGCTAACTACCGCGGGATCAGCCTTCTAAGCATAGGTTACAAGGTCTTATCGAGCGTATTGTGTGAAAGACTTAAGCCTACCGTCAATGAACTGATTGGGCCTTATCAGTGTGGCTTTAGACCTGGCAAATCCACCATAGACCAGGTATTCAATAGACCAAATCTTGGAAAAGATCCGCGAGAAAATGATCGACACTCACCACCTATTTGTCGACTTTAAAGCCAATTTTCACAGCATTAAAATCAGTTGCCTATACGCCGCTATGCCTGAATTTGGCATCCCCTCACAACTCATACGGCTGTGAAAATTGACGATGAGCAATACCACCAGCTCCGTCAGAATTGGGAAAGACCTCTCCGAGGCGTTCGCCACCAAAAGGGGTTTCAGACAGGGCGACTCCCTTTCATGTGACTTCTTTAATTTGATGTTGGAGAACATAATAAGAGCTGCAGAAATCCAACGCAGAATCACTCTTGCCAACAAGTGCTACTTTGGACTGAGTAGGCAATTCAGGAGTAAAGTCCTCTTTCGACGTACAAAAACCTTTCTCTATAAGTCACTCATCATGCCCGTGCTGGTATACGGCGCAGAAGCATGGACAATGACTACATCCGATGCGGCGGCTCTTGGAGTGTTCGTGAGAAAGATTTTGCGGAAGATTTACGGGCCTTTACGCGTTGGCGACGGCGAGTACCGCGGACGATGGGTCCCGGGGCATAGTGGTGTCCCGGGAAATGCGAAAGCAGACGAATGTGCTAAAAATGGATCTGAGATGTGGCTAGGGGAGCGATTCAGATCGTGAAACCTCCTCTGCGATTTCTGTCTTCAGAAGTTGACAGAGTGACCAGCGCAGTCACCAATAGCATACNTACATCCGATGCGGCGGCTCTTGGAGTGTTCGTGAGAAAGATTTTGCGGAAGATTTACGGGCCTTTACGCGTTGGCGACGGCGAGTACCGCGGACGATGGGTCCCGGGGCATAGTGGTGTCCCGGGAAATGCGAAAGCAGACGAATGTGCTAAAAATGGATCTGAGATGTGGCTAGGGGAGCGATTCAGATCGTGAAACCTCCTCTGCGATTTCTGTCTTCAGAAGTTGACAGAGTGACCAGCGCAGTCACCAATAGCATACTGACGGAATACTGGACCATGGTCCATATGGCCGCCAGGCTTGTAGCCCCGCATAAAGATTTCTGCAGAAGCTGCTGCTATGTGGAGGAGATAGAATCAGGCCAGCACGTCATTCGCGAGTGTCCAGCACTCCCAGGAAAAGGCCTCAAGTCTCTTGGGGACCATTTCTTCGAGAGCTTGCATACCTTGGGGAAAGCCCCACTGGAAAGACTGCTAGGATTCGCCAGAGAATAAAAATGGTTCAAAACCATGTAGGGATAGTCAAGGAGTAGCCCGCTATGGGCATCGCAATGGGTCTTTGTGGCCTTCAGAGCTGCCCGTTTAACCTTACTTATCTAAAATGAATTCACAAATATTGGGCATGGGTTGGCATTGGGTTGCCAAAAGAAAATTTGTATCCAGTACTATAAAAGGGAGTTCCCACCCGCTCAAACATTCTTTACTATTACTACATTCTAACTAAAAATTGCTATAAATCTGGCCAGTTTTCAATCGACTGTATGTATAATAACAATGGTTCTATGGATGCCACTATCCAATTCCCATGTAGAATTCTCCGGTGATTCCGAAAATCGAGATATTTTTTTTTTCTATGCGCAGCTTTTTGAGATATTTGCAATTTACCGTTATTCAGATTTAAAAAAGTAGGGGTTTCACTTAATCGCGTATATCTTACGAACCAATTGGATTGTCGTAATACGAGTTACGGGAAATGAAAGAAAATAAAATTCTCCATAAACCGTATATACATCACTTTCCGCTAGGGCTTATAGTTTCTAAGAAATTAATTTCATTTTCTTTCATTTACTGTACCTCATATTACGATTATTTTATTGGTTTGTAAGATATACTTGATTAAGTGGTACCACTTTTAAGTTGAATACCGGTAAATTGCAAATATCTTGAAAACGTATCCATACAAAAATAAATAAACTCGATTTTCGGAATCAGCGAGCGAGTCTACATACAAATTGGATAGTGGCGTCTGGAGAACAAAATAAAAAAAATTAAAATATGTGCTCCAGTGTAATTGTGACAGATAACTCCATGCAAAGTTAAAACAAAACTAATGCACCCCTTACCTGTACAACTGCTGCTGAATCCACTGTGTCCACGTTGACTTGTCGATTACTTTTCGCCATGCGCTGCTTTTTCGGACAACCGTCCTCTAAATTCAGCCAATCCACAATTTGCTTGTCCCAAATGAACGAATTACGCGAAAACTCATTTAGCCGTTCCAGTTTACGCGAGTCCAAACTATCGCGATACACGTTACGCGGTTTATCCAAGTTGTGTTCATAATCAGTATCGAAATTAAAGCTACTTCGCGATTGGCTACGCCGATCTGCGTTTTGACGAGCGGAACTCGGTTTGCGACGACGGACTACCGTAACCGGCGCGGATATCGCTGCTGATGCGCCACTAGTATTAGGGGTCAAAGGTGGGGGATTCTGCTCAGTTCGTAGGCTCAACGTGGAAAGTTGTCGTTCCAGCTGTTTCTCATAGCCATTGAATTTGTCGTAGTCAATGAAGGACATATTCTCATAACTAACCATATTGTCGATAGCTTGCAAGGATTGTAAAGACGCGCTCCATTTTGGATTGAGCTTTCCTTCTTCTTCTCTCCCGTTATGGTGGCAATGGTGCTCTTAAAGGAGGCTAGCAGCGTGTTGGAGCGCCGCCGCTGAAAATTCGCGATCGGATCAAAGGGTACGCCATTGCCCTCGCCAGGTGCCAATGAGACGGTCGATGGCTTGCGCCGCACAGGCGTGCCACTATTGCACGCTTCCACCGGCGTTGAAGTCAGCGGGTGTGAATTTGGTCGTTGCGGTGTTGCCGTTGGCGTTTTCGTTATTGTGATCGATCCACTCACGAGCGGCGGAGCCATGGCACCATTGACATTAGATATGTGGGCGACGGACAACGATGTGGCTGCCGGCAAAAGATCACATACTTCCATGGAATTCTTGCGCGGCGACGACGGTGATGTGGGATCCGTCTCCTCGCACAGCTGTTCCAGTTGCGGTTCTATTAAGCTGCGTCGATTGGTGCGACGCAGCAATATCATTGAGCGGCTGCGTGTGAACTTGTATGGCGTGGCATTCTCGTCGTCCACCCTCGTCAGATTCTCCTTGCTGCCCGTAATAGAATTGAGTAGCTTGGAGAGTTTGCCGCGCAGCGAAAAACTATTTGACCGTTCAAATTTCGGTGCATTCTCGTAGCCAGGCAAGATGCTAGTCGCTGGCAGTGATATTGCAGAAGGTGTGGCGCTCAACGCACGACCGGCAGAATCGAACATTTTTTGGTTGATGTTATTATTATTTTGTACAATATGGTTGTTGTTATTGTTGTTGATGTTGTTGTGTACTGGCATTTTAGTAGTTTTAACGCCCAGTCTGTTGGTGTTGTCGTGGGTCACCACATTAGGTGGGGCAGTTGTTATAGTTGTTGTTGTTGTTATCACCTCGGTTTGCTTTTGACCTTCCTGCAGTTGTTTTTGTTGCTGCTGCTGCTTCAATTGTTGCTTCTTATTGGCCTTAATCGTTTTCTTTTGCGCTTTCGTACCATTTTTTAATTCTCTGGTAGAATTCATTATCGCAATCGCCGTATTGTGAACTTTCGAACTCTTTGTCAAGTATTCTTTAAAACTTAAAGACGGATTCAGCTACAGCTCAGTTGTGCATCTGTTTTGTACTCTGAAAAATGAAAGAAATTAGAAAATTAAAGAAGCTGAAAATTATAATTCCTGTGATTAAAAACTTTATATGGGACATGGTCCACCCTCAACGCGTTCAAAAAAATATACATAGGTCTATATGTACATATTTTTCTTTTATAGATCGAATCCTACAGTTCACACGCCAGCGAAAACAAATTTAAATAGGAAACTCGACGGTGGTTTCTCATTGAATTAGTTAGACAATTAAGTGGTCAATTACTCACCATCCCAAGCGAAAACTTGCACTGTTCAAACATTTGTCACTCGAAGAACGCTAAATGCATTTTATTCTTAATCTTACTTTTATTTGTATTTGCTTTTGTAACTGCAAAACTTTATATTAAAAAAACTGATTGTTTTATGTGTAACGGCTGAAGTAATGCCAACAGCATTTCAATTGCGAAATGTCCAGCCAACAAACGTTAAAATGAATAGCGAAACACGTATTCCCTTTCATTGTTTCGTTCGTCGATTGGTCGGCTATTAAATTGATTCGAAGCGTTGCTTTTTTGTATCTAGGTAAATTGTAGAAAAAGTGAAGAGCATGAAAACAACAAAAATGAGAAAAATGTGTTGCTTATCAAATCACAATGGATGTGTTATAAAAAAAAAAATAACATAATAAAAAAAAGCAAAACGAATGTTAAATTTCGCGTTAAAGAGACGCATATAATACATGGAACTAGATAAGGGGTCTCGACACTAACACTTCACTTTAAAGTGTTGAGCAGAGCGGGTAGAGCGCAGTCTGGAAACAGGTACTGACTGCACAGTGTTTTGAATGAATTATGAAATATGATTAAAACAAAAAATATACTGTTGCTTTCATTAACAGGGCGATTCTGGCAACTGCCTTTCCACTCACCACAGTCTTTCGAAAGACAAAAGTCTTTAATAAAACAATTGTCAATTCTGGCTCTTTACTGACTTTCGAAAGACTAATTAAAAAACCTGCTAACAAGCTGGTCTTACCGTTATGCTGTTCGCCTATATAAAAATTAAATTAAAAAAAAAAAAAAACAACATTTTTCTTTTTAAAAGAATAAAAATTAATAAATAAAAGAAAATTCAATTCGAAAAATTAGAAAACTGAATCCAAAAAGAAGGAAATAGTACTGAAAAATTAAATTAGATTAAAAATATGTTTATTTAAAGGAAAACAAAATAAAACAATTAAAAAAATTAAATAAGATCCTAAAAATTAAATGAAATAAAATTTGTTTTTTTTACAATAAAATATAAAATTAAAAGAAAATGAAATAAACAAAGGGATACCAAATTACATTAAAAAAGGAAAAAATAAATAAAATAAATTTCTAAAAATTAAATGATACTTAATAATAATGCATTCTGTAAACGAAAAGGTAAGCGGTTACCCTCGATTGGGGAACCACTTTTTGAGAGTAACCGCTTACCTTTTCGTTTACAGAATGCATTATCTTAAGATGTGCATGTCATTGGAGGTAATCGAATAAATGTAAAATTTCTTGCCATTGCATTACAGTAATGCAGTGGATAAGCGAAAATTGTCTAGAGGCGACTTGTATTGCATTACTCCATTGATACAAAAATAAGTACTTCCCAAAAAAGTTAAAAGTTTTTGCTGGGTTGTTTACCGTCGGAACTTGTTTACCGTCGACGAGAATACCCAGCTGCAGCCAGATTCCTTTCGTCCTTGTGGTAAAATGGTTGCCGAGGATTTTGTAGGGGAGAGGTTAAGGCTCCTTGCAGTGATGAAGCGAAAAAATGTGGAGTGGTAACCGTTTATATTCAAGTATAGGTCATCAATTCCATTCCGGGGGCATTGTAATTTCTTTTTGTCTGGATTGTGTCTTGTCGGGATTCACAGTTTTCGGGATTTTGTCTTGTCTGTATAATGTGTTATCTATATTTTATTTGGAAGGGATTTTGTTAAATCTGTATTATGTCCTGTACTATGTATTATGTCTGGATTTTTAAAAATTGTCTGAATTATGTCTTGTCGGGATCTTTAAAGTCGGGGTTATGAAGTGCTCCCAAATAAAATATGAATTTTATGCCGAATATATTTTTATTTTGACTTCAGCGCATCCTAGCGGTTCGATTTATTGCAAATCTATGTCGTAATATGACCTACCGCTGGAAACGCCCATATGTCTATACTTTGGAAATGATATGTAAAGCAATATGGATATATGTATTTTGGGCTTTACAGAAACCAATATCGAGTATTTTTATCCCGATAATAATGGGCACGCGATATATTTACAGCGATAATTTAAATGAGTACTTTATCGATATTTTCGGTTCGATATCGTGTCGCTAAACAAAAACCTTTCCTACCATCTTGCCATCTGTCCTACAATTGTCTTACGAAAGACTGTTTACTACCTTAGCCAGAATGGCCCTGTAATTCTGTTCAATGACAATATGTTTATGGACATACATATTTAAGTAAGTGTTTGACTAATTTTAGGGAAGTGCAGGTCGTTTCAAACTTCTAGTAATTCATGAAGATGTGTTTGAAAGAAATTATAAGGCAAATCAGTTTTCAAGGGAGAAATTGTAAATTTTCGGGGACTGTTTAATGTTAAGAGACCTAAATAGGCACTAGGTGGGAGGCCGAAGTAAACCTTAGATTCCTTCATAAACTGAGAGCCAAGTCGATGGTCTTCGGCAAAAGTCCAAATAACCAGGTCAGCAGAAAAAACAGTTGAAAGAAAGTGTCGCAGAAACTATGAGTAAAATCAAATTGAATTGATTAGCAAATTTAATGCTCTACTTCTTCTTCTTATTTGGCACTACAACCGTTTGACGGTTGGGCCGAGACCAAAAAGCTTCGCCAGTTGCCTCTCTCCCTGGCGTATTTGCGCCAGTTATTCATCCCAAGTGCGGACAGGTCCATCTGCTTTTGGTCGTTCAATTGTGTTCGTGGGCGCATTTGCGTGCATTATGCTAGCGCAATCGTTGTATTTGTATGCGCTTAACTTTGCCCACGTCGTTAAAAAGCTTGTACAGTTCATCATTCCAGGCTCATAGATTTTGCATAGAATAGCTCTCTCGAAAGCACCCAAAATCTTCTCACTTTTATTAGACATCGTCCATGTTTCTGCGCAACATTAAATGACGGGCATGATGAGAGATTTGTAGAGCATGTTGAAACGGCATCTTATGGATTGGACAAAGTACACTGAGATTCCAATCTTTGGGCATGTATTCATCAGACCAAATTCTACTTAATAAGCTGATACATGCGCCCGACCAGCACTTCGCCGCCGGCTTTGAACAGTTCAGCCGGTATACCGTCGGCTCCGGGCCATTGTTGTTTTGAGCCCCCTTATTGCTGTTTTTACCTCGTCTTGGTTAAGTGGATGAACCTGAGCTTCGTACCTAAACATTGGTTCGAGTTCTTCTTCCACATCTCAAGTGTACTCTGGACATCTGTTAACAGATTTCCATCTTCAAGAAACCAGCCCCGGTTTTGAAACCCTTGGGATGCTGCTTATTTTCTGATAGAACTGTCGAGCCGAATTCCTTCTGCCAGCATCTCAATCTCATCGCATTCACGTCTTTATGCCTCTCGTTTCTTTCTTTTGAATATACGTCTTTTCTCATCTCTCGGTATCGTTCCACTGTCGTCCGCGTAGCTATTGGCTGCAGGATGGCTTTGTATGCTGCGGTAGTATCCAACCACCTCTTCTGCAACGGCACAAAGAGATTGCGAGATGGATTTCCACTACTCATTTATATCCGGTCGATGAAAGGTTTCTTGTAAAGCAGGATTGAGAGTCGATTGCGAAATTTGTCGGCTGTCTGTTGTGCCTGCCTGACCCACGTTCTTCATTGCACTGAGGCGCAAGCGGACCTTGACGCTCGAAGCGTATCTTCCGCCTATCACAACATGATATATTTGGTTCTTGGTTATTTGATCAGTGGACACATCAGTGGCTTTGTGGATGTTTCGATACTGGTATTAATGGTTTACTAATAGTCCAAAAACCAGTTACCAGCCGAAGGTTAGCTGAATTGTTATGGATGTAAATCCTGATAAGCTGCAGAACAACAGTCTGCTTGTTGAAAGGCTAGGCAAAATTGTAAGCATTTCATTCTGCTGGTGAAAATAGCAGTAAGATCTTGAAGAAGTCCCGTTAAACAATTTCCCCCTTATGGGATGGAATCTGGACCACTGTTAAACACCGAAACACCGCAAAATGGCCAATATTATCAGTGTTTGTGATGAAGACAAACTTGTAGTCGCATAGCTTTGGGAATATTAACAACTGTTTGGCTGTTTATGTGCAATTACAACAAGCTAATAAAAAGTGCCAAATACATTTTGACAATTACAAAGGCGCATGAGGTTCAATGATAAGCCAACAGCTATTTGTTTTACTACATATAACGTTCAGCAAATAGACAGATATAAAAAAGCTTGCAATGTATGTAAGTCTATGTATGTACTATGTACTATATAATTCATTTGGGTCTTAACTCAGTGCTTCATTATTGAAGTGAAGTTTAAAGTTCAAATGCAGCTTTTGATTCAGTTTTCAACTGTACTATGATATATATGTATGTAAGTAACCTTGTTTGTGAAAGATGCGCGTACAAATGAAAATAATTTTATAAGAGTTAAAACGCACAGTGCGTAGTTAACTCAGAATCGGCAGTTAACTACAGATTTTTGTACTGACTCTTCACTTACTACCAAAAAAAAAAAAAAAATTAAAACAACGCTGAGACATGGAATATGTTTAGTTATCAAATTTCGCACTATGTTTTTTTGCTCTGGGCTTTATCAGCGCACACGACAAAAGTACAAATCTTGATAAAATTCCGCAAGTGCTGTAATTTTCGTTTATAAAATTAAGGGGTTTCAGTGAAATTGTAGCAAACAAGACTGATCACTTATAATTATAACGACGTACATTTGAAAGACGCTATGCGTACTTTTGCCTTTAATTGATTTCAATTTCGGCGCTCATTAATCGG